CTGCCCTCTCTTTCTCTCCTCTCTCGCCTGCCCTCTCTTTCTCTCCTCTCGCCTGCCCTCTCTTTCTCTCCTCTCGCCTGCCCTCTCTTTCTCTCCTCTCGCCTGCCCTCTCTTTCTCTCCCTGTGTCTTTTTTACCCTTACTCTTCATCTGACTCTCCTTTTCTTTCTCTCATTAACCGTGATTTTTTCTCTCTCGGTGCTGATTAGCGAATGGGATGGGATGGGAGGGGGGGGGACACGCAGTACGAGAGGGAGGAGGAGGAGAAGTGGAAGAAGCAGAAGGAGGAGGAGGAGGAGGAGGAGGAGAAGGAGGAGAAGGAGGAGGAGAAGGGAGGAGGAGGAGAAGGAGGAGAGAAGGAGAGGAGAAGGAGGAGGAGAAGGAGGAGGAGAAGGAGGAGGAGAAGGAGGAGGAGAAGGAGAGGAGGAGGAGAGGGAGAGGAGGAGGAGGAGGAGGAGGAGGAAGGAGGAGGAGGAGAGGAGGAGGAGGAGAAGGGAGGAGGAGGAAAGGGGAAGTGGAAGAAGCAGGAGGAGGAGGAGAGTGGAAGAAGCAGGAGGAGGAGAAGTGGAGAAGCAGGAGGAGGAGGAGAGGATGGAAGAAGCAGGAGGAGGAGAAGTGGAAGAGCAGGGAGGAGGAGAAGTGGAAGAAGCAGGAGGAGGAGAAGTGGAAGAAGCAGGAGGAGGAGAAGTGGAAGAAGCAGGAGGAGGAGAAGTGGAAGAAGCAGGAGGAGGAGAAGTGGAAGAAGCAGGAGGAGGAGAAGTGGAAGAAGCAGGAGGAGGAGGAGTGAAGAGCAGGAAGGGAGGAGGGAGTGGAAGAAGCAGGAGGAGGAGGATTGGAAGAAGCCAGGAGGAGCGAGAAAGTGGAAGAAGCAGGAGGAGGAGAAGGGAAGAAGCAGGAGGAGGAGAAGTGAAGAAGCAGGAGGAGGAGAAGTGGAAGAAGCAGGAGGATGAGGAGTGGAAGAAGCAAGGAGGAGGAAGGAGTGAAGAAGCAGGAGGAGGAGGAGTGGAAGAAGCAGGAGGAGGAGGAGTGGAAGAAGCAGGAGGAGGAGGAGTGGAAGAAGCAGGAGGAGGAGGAGTGGAAGAAGCAGGAGAGGAGTAAGTGGAAGAAGCACAGGAGGAGGCGAAGTGGAAGAAGCAGGAGGAGGAGAAGTGGGAAGAAAGCAGAGTAGGAAGAGTGGAAGAGCAGGAAGGAGGATACGTGGAAGAGAGGAAGGAGGTAGAAGTGGAAGAAGCGAGGAGGAGAAGTGGAAGAAGCAGGGGCGGAGGAGTGGAAGAAGCAGGAGGAGGAGTAAGTGGAAGAAGCAGAGGAGGAGAGTGGAAGAAGCAAGGAGGAGGAAAGTTGGAAGATCAGAGGAGGAGGAGTGGAGAAGCAGGAAGGAGGATGAGTGGAAGAAGCAGGAGGAGGAGGAGTGAAGAAGCAGGAGGAGGAGAATGGAAGAACAGGAGGAGGAAAATGGAAGAATCTAGGAGGAGGAGAAGTGGAAGAGCAGGAGGAGGAAAGTGGAAGAAGCAGTGAGGGGAGGAGTGGAGAAGCAGGAGGAGGAGGAGTGGAAGAGCGGAGGAGGAGGAGTGGAAGAAGCAGGAGGATGAGAGTGGAAGAAGCAGGAGAGGAGGAGGAGTGGAAGAATCAGGAGGAGGAGGAGTGGAAGAAGCAGGAGGAGGAGAGGAGAAGGAGGAGAAGTGGAAGAAAGAAAGAAGCAGGAGGAGGAGAAGTGGAAGAGCAGGAGGAGGAGAAGTGGAAGAAGCAGGAGGAGGAGAGTGGAAGAAGCAGGAGGAGGAGGAGTGAAAGATAGCAGGAGGAGGAGGAGTGGAAGAAGCAGAAGCAGGAGGAGGAGAAGTGGAAAGAACGCAGGAGGAAGGGAGAAGTGGAAGAAGCGGAGGAGGAGGAGTGGAAGAAGCATGAGGAGGAGGAGTGGACGAAGCAGGAGGAGGAGGAAGTGGAAGGAAGCAGGAGGAGGAGAAGTGGAAGAAGCAGGAGGAGGAGAAGTGGAAGAAGCAGGAGGAGGAGAAGTGAAGAAGCAGCAGGAGGAGGAGGAGGGAAGAAGCAGGAGGAGGAGGAGTGGAAGAAGCAGGAGGAGAGGAGTGAAGAAGCAGGAGGAGGAGGAGTGAAGAAGCAGGAGGAGGAGGAGTGGAACGAAAGCAGGAGGAGGAGAAGTGGAAGAAGCAGGAGGAGGAGAAGTGGAAGAAGCAGGAGGAGGAGAAGTGGAAGAAGCAGGAGGAGGAGAAGGAGGAGGAGAAGTGGAAGAAACAGGAGTGGAGTAGGAGTAGGAGTAGGAGTAGGAGTAGGAGTAGGAGTAGGAGAAGCAAATGTAAAAGAAAAAGAAGTGAGAGCAACAGTAGGAGTAGGAGGAGATATGTGAGGACGAGGGCGAGGGTGACCGGAAAGGCCTCGACGAGACCGGAATATGATAAGCGTCCTGGGCGGATCAGGAGGGTTTGGGTAAGCGAGTTGAGGGGTGGAGTGGCCTGGGTGGGAATCTGCGGAGGTGGATCTGTCTCTCTCTCTCTCTGTCTCTCTCTCTCTGTCTCTCTGTCTGTCTCTCTCTCTGTCTGTCTCTCTCTCTGTCTGTCTGTCTCTCTGTCTGTCTGTCTCTCTCTGTCTGTCTGTCTCTCTCTGTCTGTCTGTCTCTCTCTGTCTGTCCTTCTCTCTCTGTCTTTATGGTTCTCTCTCTTGTGCGTCTTCTCTCTCTCCTGTCTCGTCTGTCTCTCTGTCTCTCTCTCTCTGTCTCTCTGTCTCCTCTTCTCTTCTCTCTCTCTCTCTGTCTCTCTCTCTCTCTGTCTCTCTCTCTCTCTGTCTCTCTCTCTCTCTCTGTCTCTCTCTCTCTCTCTGTCTCTCTCTCTCTCTCTCTCTCTCTCTCTCTCTCTCTCTCTCTCTCTCTCTCTCTCTGTCTCTCTCTCTCTCTGTCTCTCTCTCTCTCTGTCTCTCTCTCTCTCTCTCTGTCTCTCTCTCTCTCTCTCTCTCTGTCTCTCTCTCTCTCTCTGTCTCTCTCTCTCTCTCTGTCTCTCTCTCTCTCTCTCTCTCTCTCTGTCTCTCTCTCTCTCTGTCTCTCTCTCTCTCTGTCTCTCTCTCTCTCTGTCTCTCTCTCACTCTGTCTCTCTCTGTCTCTCTCTCTCTCTCTCTCTCTCTCTCTCTCTCTCTCTCTCTCTCTCTCTCTCTCTCTCTCTGTCTATCTCTCTCTCTCTCTCTCTCTCTCTCTCTCTCTCTCTCTCTCTCTCTCTCTCTCTCTCTCTCTCTCTCTCTCTCTCTCTCTCTCTCTCTCTCTCCCTCTCTCTGTGTGTGTCCCTCTTCTCTTGTTCCTTTAATTTTGTGTTCTATATTTCTTTTTCCCTCTCTCTCCTCTCCCGGTTCCTCGATCTTAGTTCAGCTTTCCATTCCCATCTCATTAGTGTCCCCTCTCCTTCCTCCCCCTTATTCCTTCTTTCTCTTCGTCTTTCTTTCTCATCATCATCATCCCGGTTTCCCCCCCTTTCCTTCCTTCCTTCCTCCCACGTCCGTTCTCTCCTCTGTACCTTCCTCCCTCGTCCTCCCTCTCTCTTCCCTCGTCCTCTCTCTCCCCTCTCCCTTCTTCCCTCTCCCTTCCCTCGTCCTCCCTCTCCCTTCCCTTGTCTTCCCTCTCCCCTCTCCCCTCTCCCCCCTCCCCTTTCCCTTCCCTCGTCCTCCCTCTCTCTTCCCTCTTCCTCTCTCTCCCCTCTCCCTTCTTCCCTTTCCCTTCCCTCGTCCCCCCTCTCCCTTCCCTTTCCCCTCGTGACCTCTTCCCTCTCCCCTGTTCTACCTTCCTCCCTCTCCCCTCGTGACCTCTTCCCTCTCCCCTCGTGACCTCTTCCCTCTCCCCTCTTCTCCTTTCCCTCCCTCTCCCCTCTCTCCCTTCCTCCCTCTCCCCTCTCCCTTCCTCCCTCTCCCCTCTCTCTTCCTCCCTCTCCCCTCTCTCTCCCTCGCTCCCTCTCCCCTCGTGACCTCTCCCCTCTTCCCCTCTGCCTCTCGTTACCCTCACTTATTGATTACTCGGAGCCGGCAGTATTGTCTCGCTCGAGTGTATTTGCGGGTAATCTGCTCTTAATGTTTGTTCCTTTGTCCGCCCTCGCCGCCCCTTGCGCTCCTCTTCCTCCACTCTTACTTACTCCTTCCTCTCTTCTTCCTTTTACTCTTTCCTCTTACTCTTTCCTCTTTCTCCTTCCTTTTCCTTTCTCTTGCTACTTTTATTCCTTCTTCTCCTTTCTGCTCTTTCTTTCTGCTACTCCTTGCTTCTTTTTCTCCTCCTTCTTCTTCTTCTACTTCTTCTCCTCCTCCATTCATCGTTTTTTTTTCGTTCTTTGTCTTTTATCTTTATCTCCCATTTGTGTGTTTTATTATCACTTTTTATTTAGATGGAGTTTTGCTTTCTCCTCTTTTTATCTTCTTCCTATCTTCTCTCTTCCTTTTATCATGCCTCTCGCCTTCTCCCCGCGCCGCTCCCTCAGCCGTGCCTGACTGAGGGTTATTGTTTCTCTCTCTCTCTCTCTCTCTCTCTCTCTCTCTCTCTCTCTCTCTCTCTCTCTCTCTCTCTCTCTCTCTCTCTCTCTCTCTCTCTCTCTCTTTTATTTATTTTATTTTTTCATTGTGTGGCCTTTTTATTGTTGGTTTAGCCTCTGTTTATTTTAGATTTTGTTTTGTTTTTTATTTTTTGTTTTTACTTTTTTTTTGTTATAGTTCCTGTATGAGAATGTCTTTTGTTTCTTTTTTTTTAAGGGTGAAGTTTGGGTACGTGTGTATGCATTTGTGTGTGCATATTTGCATGTCGGTGCACACACACATTCATGCAAGCATACACGGATACATACATGTACGTCTATGCATTCATTCACGAAATATGTTTGTCGGCAGAAGCACTAAAATACATACATATACCTTTGTCGTTTGTGTGCGCTTGTACGTGTTTGTGTGCGTGTGCGTGTGTTCGTGTGTGCGTGCGTGCCTTTTTTTCCGTGGACTAAACTAGCTTCCGTTTTCTTTTTTTTCGCGCAGGTTGAAGCTGGAGTGCGAGAAGTTAGCCAGCGAGAAGACGGAGATGCAGAGGCACTACGTTATGGTGAGACTAAACTGTTTTTTTTTTTTTTTTGTTTTGTTTTTTTGGTGAGGGGGTTCATTTTTTTGGGGGGTGGGGGGTGGGGGGTAGTGTTGTATATTGTTGGTGTTGTTTTTATTTTCCTTTTTTCGTCGTTATTTTTATGTTTTTTTTTCTTTCTTTTTCTTTCTTTTGTTGGTATTCTTCTCTTGAGTTGAAGGAGAAAGAGTAGAAGGTAGAAAAAAAAGGGGAGAAGGAAGTAGAGGAGGAGAAAAGGAGAAAGGAGAAAAAAACAACTAGCAAGAGAGAGAGAGAGAGAGAGAGAGAGAGAGAGAGAGAGAGAGAGAGAGAGAGAGAGAGAGAGAGAGAGAGAGAGAGGGAGAGAGGGCCTGGATACTCGAGGAAACGAACAGGACTAATTCCTATATTGAAAATTGTTAATCACTCAGGTGTTGCAGACGAGGAAGGAGAGGGGGGGAGGGGAGAGGGAGGGAGAGGGAGGGGTACGGAGAGTAGGGATCAGAAGGTTGGAGTACGGCCGGAGGGGGGTGGGGGTAAAAAAAAAGGCGACTGCTGCAGTGATTAACTTTCTTTATTAACCCTTGTCTCTCTCTCACCTTTCTTCCCTCTCTTTCTTGTCCCGTGTTCTTGACCTTATCCCTTCCGCCCCCCCCCCCTCCCCCTCCCCCTCTCCCTCTCCCTTCCCCTCTCCCTTCCCCTCCCTCCTCCTCATCACGCCTTTCCCCTTCCCCTCCCATCTCCTCATCACCCCTTCCCTCTTCCCCTTCCCCTCCCTCCTCCTCATCACCCCTTCTCCCTTCCCCTTTCCCCTTCCCCCTTCCCCCGTCCCCTTCCCCTTCCCCTTTCTCCTTCTCCCCCCCCCCTTCCATTTCCCCTTCCTCTTCCCCTTCCCCTTGCCCTTCCTTTATCACTTTTTTTTTGGCTCCCGTAGTTCGCTATCGGTCCGCGGCAACTCTTCGCTCGGCATCACTCTTTTGTTTTGTTTTGTTTACTTGTTTACCGAGAGTGACGACGTAGGGTTATTTTGGAGGATGGGTTACGTCAGGAGAGAGAGAGTGTGTTTTGCTGTGTCTTTGGGTATTGGGTGTTGGATGTTCGTAAATGTCTTTTTTTGAAGAGTGATATAGATGGGAGGTGGAGGGAGGGAGAGAGAGGGAGAGAGGGGAGGAGAGGGAGGGAGGGGGAGAAAAGAGAGAGAATATGAGAGAATGAGAGAGAGAGAGAAAGAGAGAGAGAGAGAGAGAGAGAGAGAGAGAGAGAGAGAAAGAGAGAGAAAGAGAGAGAGAGAGAGAGAGAGAGAGAGAATGAGGGAAGTGCGTTGTTAATTACTCCGCGGTCTGTTCTGGGGCGTAGATAATACCAGCGTGAGATTAGCCGGCTTGAAGCGCCGGATTGGCAATGGCGGACCCTAATCTGTGCGCCGTACTCGGGGGGGGGGGAGGAGGAGGAGGAGGAGGAGGAGGAGGAGGAGGAGGAGGAGGAGGAGGAGGAGGAGGAGGAGGAGGAGGAGGAGGAGGAGGAGGAGGAGGAGGAGGAGGAGGGGGGGAAGGAGGAGGAGGAGGGGGGAAGGAGGAGGAGGGGGGGAAGGAGGAGGAGGAGGAGGAGGAGGAGGGGGGGAAGGAGGAGGAGGAGGAGGAGGAGGAGGGGAAGGAGGAGGAGGTAGTAGAAGAAGAAGAAGAAAAAGAGGAGGAAAGGTAGAATAGCAAAGAAAGTGGAAAAAGAAGAGGAAGAGGAGGAAGGGTGGAAAGGAAAAGTGGGAAGAGGAAGGAGGAGAAAGAGATTCGAGACGGGAATGGACCGCAAAGAGAAGAGAAGGGGGAGAGACAAATTGTAGATAAAAGAGAGAGGAAGAAGAAGAAATAAGAGCGGGGAATCCTAATAAGGAAAGGAAAAGGAAAAAAACAAAACAATAAAGGCTGGAGGCAGAGAGGAATGAGATGGGAAAGATGGGAGATTAATAAACTCGAGAATAAGAGATAGCGCGGAAGATAAGGGGAAAAGAGGGGGAGGGATGGAGGGGGGGGAGAGGAATACACAAGTAATTTGCTCCGTATATGGGATAGATCGTTAACGGGTGGGGGGGGGGGGAGAGAGAGGAGGAGAGAGGGAGAGGAGGGGTGAGAGGGTGAGGGGGAAGGGAGGAGAGAGAGGGTGAGGGGGAAGGGAGGGGAGAGAGGGAGAGGAGGGGGGAGAGAGAGAGAGGGTGAGGGAGTGTATATAATTCGCTCGGAGGTCGATTCGGGATGGAATCATTTCGCACAATGAACCGCCGGATTAGGTAGGCTTCATGTCCCTTACTCCTCCCCCTCCCCCCTCTCCCCCTCCCTCTCTGGCGGCGGTATATGGAAGTGGAGGGGGGTGGGGGCGCTGATGGAGTGGAGGTGGAGGAATAGGAAGAGGAGGAGAAGAAAAAGTAGGATGTTAATGAAGAAGACGAAGAAGAAGAAGGAGGAGGAGAAAGAGGACAAGGACAAGGGGCTGTATGGAGAGGGTATTAGATGCTGGAGGATGGGAGAATAGAGGAATAAAGGAAGGAAGGAAGGAAGGAAAGAAGGGATCGGAGGGGAGAGAAGGACGAGGGGAGAATAGCGGTGTTGAAGAGGAGCAAGGGTTGGAGGAGAGGAGGAGGGGGGAGGTTTTAAAATTAATCGTGGTCATTATGGGCTTAATTAACAAGAAAATGATGTCGCCATGTTAGGTGTCGCCGGTGCTTTGGCTCTGGAAGGAGGAAGAGGAGCAGGATGGAGAAGAAGAAAAAGAAGAGGAGGAGGAGGAGAAGAAGAAGAAAAGCAGGAGAAGGAGAAAAAAAAGTGAAAGAGAGGGGATGAGGAAGAGCTGTTCAAGGGAAAGAAAGAGAGGATAAGAGTAAGGGGGGATGAGAAGTGAAAGGGGGAGAAAGGGGAGATAGAAGAGGAGGAGACGGTGAAGCAAGGAATAATACTCGAAAGAAAAGGACAATGAACGATGGAAATGAGACAAGGGAAAACGGGGGTGGAGGCGGCGGGAAGCGAAGGAAGGGGAATAAGAAGAAAAATCGGAGAAGAGGGATTAGGCAAAGGTGACGGAAGGGGAGAGGAGAAGAGGGGAGGAGAGGAGAGGATAAAAATGAGGAGAAGAGGAGGCGGAAAATAGGAGTGAGAAGAGGCAAGGGAAGCCTGGAGACTTGAGGTAGGTGGGGGGTAGGGGTGAGTGGGGGTAGCGGTGTAGGGGGGGAGGGGTTGTGTTGGCAGCGCAGAGAAGGTAAGCGGCTTGCTGACTTTAATTATTCCCTCCTCCCTTCCCTCTCTCTCTTTTGCCCCCCCCCCCCTCCCCTCCTTCGCTTCTGTATCCCTTTCCGCTGTCTCGCGTCCGTGTCTCTTCTCCTCTCCCCTCCTTGCCTTTCGTCTTGATTTGGTTTTACTGTGCTATACTTTTTCTTTACTTTATTTTGTCTATTTTCCTTTTGTCTTTTCTGTTCTCTTGTCTTTTATCCTCTGCCCTCCTTTTCTGCATCTCTTCCTCCGTTCCTCTCCTTCTTCCCCTTTCCCTCCCCCTCTCCTTCTCCTTCCTCCCCCCTTCCCCATCCCCTTCCTCTCCCTCTCCTCCCCCCTTCTCCCTCTTCCTCTCCCTCTCCTCCCCCTTCCTCTCCCTCCCCCCTCCACCTTCCTCTCCTTCTCCCCCCTCCACCTTCCTCTCCTCCTCCCCCCCCCTCTCCTCCTTCTCCCCCCTCCACCTTCCTCTCCTTCCCCCTCCCCCCCTTCCTCTCCCCATCCCTAGCCGCCTCTGCCTTAATTAAGTTTGTTTTGGGTAATGAGGCCGACGATGCTATTGGCACCGGTTGGGATCCGAGGCACGGGGCGGGAAGAAAGGGGGGGGAGGGGAGGGAAAAGAGGAGGAGAAGGAGAGGAGGAGGAGGAGGAGGAGGAGGAGGAGGGTAGGAATAAAAAGAGGAAGAAAGAGATGGAAGAAGATAGAGGGAGGAGAACGAGATAAGAGAAATGATAATGAGGAAGAGGAGGGAACAAAATAAGAGATGAGGAAGAAGAAGAAGAGGAGGAGAAAGACGAGAAAGAAAGATGAAGGGCGAAAGGGATAAGTGAAGGGGAAGGAAACAGACAAAGGGAGGGAGGGAGGGAGGGAGGGGGGTGACGGGGGAGGGAAGAGGAGGGGAGATGTGGAATAATAGCTCGGAAAAAGAATAAAAGAAAATTATGTAATTGGGAAGGAGTGGAAGGGAAGGGAAGGGAAGATTGAGGAAATAAATGTATACTTTTTTTTTAGGTAGTAATGAGAAAAGGGTAGAATGAGATGGGGAGAGAGAGAGAGAGAGAGAGAGAGAGAGAGAGCGGGAGGGATGGGGAGAGAGAGAGAGAGAGAGAGAGAGAGAGAGAGAGAGAGAGAGAGAGAGAGAGAGAGAGAGAGAGAGAGAGAGAGAGAGATTGAGAGAGAGAAAAAAAAAGAAAGAAAAAGAAAGAAAGAGGGGGAGAGAGAGAGAGAGAAAGAGGGAGGGAGGGAGGGAATGGAACAAAGGGAAATGAAATAGCGAATTGGCCGAAAATGGGAACGGGAGAAATGGATGGTGATTTTGTGACTAATTTTTGTTTGCTTGCTCTTTCTCTTCCCGTTTTTCTCATTTTTTATTCTCGCTCCTCCCATCCTCTCTCTCCTCTCCTCTCCTCTCCTCTCTTCTCTCCTCTTTTCTCTTCTTCTCTTCTCTTCTCTTTTCTTCTCTTTTCTTCTCTTCTCACGGATTTTTTATCGGTTCAGACTAAAATGTTTGTCTTTTTTATCTCTTTCAGTATTACGAGATGTCGTACGGTCTCAACGTCGAGATGCACAAACAGGTGAGTTTTATTTTTTTGTGATGAATGTGTATATATATATATATATATATATATATATATATGTATTTATATAAGTGTATAAGTATATATGTATATAAGTATATATGTATATAAGTATATATGTATATATGTATATAAGTATATATGTATATATGTATATAAGTATAAGTATATATGTATGTATGTGTGTGTGTGTGTATATATATATATATATATGTATATAATTATTGAGACAGACAGACAGACAGATTCGTTTTAATGTCTGTGTTCGGGTGTATGTGCGGAGGAGGAGGAGGAGGAGGAGGAGGAGGAGGAGTGGTAAGTGTGTACGTCTGTGCGCATACTTGCACGCATTCGCCGCTGAGTGGATAATGATTGTAATGATTGTGCATACATGGATTTCCGTGCCACAGCGCCCCTAGGTCACCAGCTGTCACCTGTGGGCTGTGAACGGGCAGGGGAAGGGTGCGCAGGTGGTGTGTGTGTGTGTGTGTGTGTGTGTGTGTGTGTGTGTGTGTGTGTGTGTGTGTGTGTGTGTGTGTGTGTGTGTATGTGTGTGTGTGTGTGTGTGTGTGTGTGTGTGTGTGTGTGTGTGTGTGTGTGTGTGTGTGTGTGTGTGTGTGTTTTTACGGACGTATGTAGGTGTGTGTATGTATGTATGTATGTGTGTGTGTATGTATGTATGTGTGTATGTGTGCGTACCCTGAGTGTGGCCTTATCGTAGTTGGGTGGCATGTTTAAGGGCGCACCTGGGCGGGCGTCGGCGCTGGGTCGGCCGGCCGCGTGTTGTGAAGGAACACCTTCATTTGGGGTGGCAGGCAGTTGGTTAGGAGGGGGTGGGGGTGGGGGGAAGGGTAGGGGACGGAGGAGAGGACAGGGCAGGAAGAAGGGAGAAGGGAGAAGGGAAAAGAGGGGTAGAGGAGAGGAGGACCGGGGAGACAGAAGAGAGAAGAGAAAGGAGGGGGAGAGGAAGGGAGAATAGGGGGGAGAGAGGGAAAGGAGAAGGGAAATGATGGGCAGAGGAGGGAAGAGAGAAGGTAGAGGAGAGTTGGGAAGGACAGGCGAGAGAGAACGGAGGAGAGGGAAGGGAGAAGGGGAAGAGGGAAGGGAAAGGGGAAGAGAGAAGGGGAAGAGATAAGGGAAGAGAGAAGGGGAAGAGGGCAAGGCAAGGCAAGTGGGGATTGCGTGCCCCATGGCTGAAGAACCTCTCGAGGGACGAAGGGCAAGAGTTGTGGAATTTGAGGGACCGACCTTTAACGGGAGGGGCGGGGGGTAGGGGGAGGGGGTGCTTGAGAGTAAGGTAAGTAAATTGAGGAGGGGGGGGGAAGGAAGGGGCTAATGGAAGAACAGATGGGGGGAAGAGGGAAGAGATGGAGGAAAGGGAGTTAATAGAATGAAAAAAGGGGAAGATTAGGAGGGTGGAAAGGGGTTAGTAAGGGGGGGGGGGGAAGGAGGAGGAGGAGGAGACGAAACCCGAGGATGATAAGAACAAGAGGGTCAGAAGAGAAGAGGGAGCAGGAGGAGGAGGAGAAGAAGAAGAAAGAGGAGAGAGTGGGAATAGGTGGGGGAGAAGAAAGAGGAGAGAGTGGGGGAGATGTGGGGGAGTCGGGTGGGGGTGAGGGTAGAGTTTAGGGTGTGGGGGTGGCGGGAGGGGGGGGGGGTGACAGGCCGTCGGTGTCTGGAGTGTCAGCTTTAGATATATCTTCATCCCGCTCTTTATCATCGCACTTACACATGATGTATTGCATAAGGGGAGGGGGAGAGGGGGGGGGCAGGGAGGAGGGCGGTCTTGTGGGGCAAATGACTGTCCTTGCTGTGCGTGTTTGTTTGTTCGAGGAGGACGAGTGTCTTGTGTTTGTTTGTGCATGTGTGTGTGTGGATATCCAATTGCAATGTTTTTTGTCGTTATTAATCGTCAAATTCCCCCGCCAGACGGAGATCGCGAAGCGGCTCAACGCCATCATAGCGCAGGTCCTGCCCTTCTTGTCCCAGGAGGTGAGTGCCGCCGCCTTCATGTAGGCCAAATGTAGTGACTTGGAAATACTTGGTATTATGCTTAATGCTTGATATAGTGTGTGGAATATTCGTGCCTTAACCTATTTCCATCTCCCGTGCCCCTTCGCAGCACCAGCAGCAGGTCGCCACGGCGGTGGAGAGAGCCAAGCAGGTCACCATGACGGAGCTGAACGCGATCATCGGGGTGAGTGGTCTTGAGTGGCGGCGGCGCTTCCGTCGCCGCGGAGCCTCCCTCTGCGCCTTGCAAATCTAATGGATTCTCGTTCCTTTTTAGTCTTCGTCATTGGACGTCAAGAGATTCAGTCCATGTGTCTTATGCTTTGCTGTTCTTGACTGAGTTTTATGAAAGCCATTCTCATCACGTTTTTGATTGACTGACTGACGTTGTGTTCACAGCAACAGATGCACGCCCAGGCAGGCATTCCCCATGGCGCCCACGCCCCGACGTTACCGATGGCGCCGCACCCGTCCTTAGCGGGGATGCCCGGCCTCCCGCCGTCGTCGGGAGCCCCGCCCGGCCTCCTCTCCGCCGTGTCCTCGGCCTCGCTCATGGGCCTCCCCACCCACCCGCTCTCCGTCCTGAGCAAGCCTGACCTCGGCCGCCCCGAGGACAAGCGGGAGCGACCCGAGGACCGCGCCGCAGCCCTCCTCGAGGAACGAGCCGTAAGTACCCGCCTTCGCCTTTTCTTTGCCGTTTTATTTACAGGTTGACTTTAAGCAGAGGATTTTACGTTCGTGTGAGTGTCTCCGGTTACAGCTGAAATGGCAGGTTACTTTTTGTCGTGGGACTGACGCGAGGCTTTTCTCTGTCGTCGTCCTGCCGAGTGGGACGAGCAGCCAGCCGAGCGGAAATAGCAGATGCGGATCCGTCTGCTAGGAGGGTCAGCAGAGGAGAGGGATGAGGGGGGAGGGGGGAAGGAAAGGGGTAGGAATGGTCGGAAGGGGGGGGGGAGAAGGGGGAGGGGCGAAGGGATTAAGGATTGCTGATTCTATTAAGTCCATGGGCGTCGCTCAATACCAAGGTAATTATACGGATCCGGAGTGGCTGTGGGCGGCCGGAGGTGGAGGGACGCGGGCTGCCCATGCACCAAAGGCCACTGAATGCGCCCGGGCCTGGCCACGGGTTAAGAGGAGGGGGGGGGGAGGCTCCCGTGCACTTAGGCGAGGGTGTTGAGGCTACGAGACGGACCTCTGGGGAGCTCCGGCCGCATGGGTGGCCCGGGAGAGAGAGAGAGAGAGAGAGAGAGAGAGAGAGAGAGAGAGAGAGAGAGAGAGAGAGAGAGAGAGAGAGAGAGAGAGAGAGAGAGAGAGGAGACAGGGGCGGGAGGGGGAAGTCAGGCAAAAATAAACAAGATAAGGAAGCCGGAGATAGAGATAGACCGAGTAAGAAAGAGAGAGAGAACAAAAGAATGCCTTTTCGAGAGCACCACGAGAGGAGGCGCTGGAGAGGGATGGGGGAGGGAGGGAGGGGCAGACAGAGAGAGGAGGGAGGGAGGGAGGCAGGGCGGGAGGGAGGGAGGGAGGCAGGGAGGGAGGCAGGGCGGGAGGGAGGGCACGAGTGACGAGAGGAATCTCAATAGAATTTATGAAGAGGCTTGTGTGTGACCTGGATCGTTATTCCCATTACAGCGGCGTCCGCGGTATGTAGTCACTGTTGTCAGCCAATTTTTGTTTCTCTCCTCTCTCCTTCTCTCTTCTCTCCTTCTCTCTTCTCTCCTTCTCTCTTCTCTCCTTCTCTCCTTCTCTCCTTCTCTCCTTCTCTCTTCTCTCCTTCTCTCTTCTCTCCTTCTCTCTTCTCTCCTTCTCTCTTCTCTCCTCTCTTCTCTCTTCTCTTTTCTCACTTGTTTTCTTCTTTTCTCTTCTCTTCATATCTCTTCTTTTCTTCTCTCTCTCACATTTTGTAATATTGAAATGTCGCCAAAGTATTTTTCTCATGTTTATTGTTGTTTTTGTTATTCAGCTTTGGTATAGTGTCACTGGCGGTTCTACAGCCTCTTCTTTCCTCCTTTCATCTCCTCTCTTCCTTCCCGTCTCTTCTTCTCTTCCTTCCCCTCTCCCCATTCCCCCTCCTCTCCTGTCTCCCCTCTCCTCTCCCCTTCTCACTCCTCTCATCTCCATCCTTATCCTTCTTATCCTCCTCCTCCCCCCTTCCCTCCTTCCCTCCTTCCCTCCTCCATTCTCCCCCATTCTCCCCCTCTCCTCCCCCCTCCCCCATTCTCCCCCTCTCCTGCCTCCCCTCTGCCGTGACTTACTCCTCCGCCGCCATGCCTCGGTGGGTTCCCAGGCGTGACGGGCCGTAACGAGACGTGACGGGAAGCGGGGCAGAGGGGCGTGACCCCGTGCCTGCTTGTCAACGGTGTACTGTGTGTGTGTGTGTGTGCGTGTTGTGACGGTGTGTATGTTTGTATGTAATGTATATATGTAATGTATGTATGTATTATGTGTGTGTGGGGGGGGGGCGCACGCGCGCGCGAGTGCATGGTGGAATAGGTGGATCTTCAACAACTCTAAATGTTTATTAAAGTAAAAAGTCCGACTTGAGTGGAGGGGGGATAGCAACAATGCGAAGAGTACGCTGTGGAGAAAAGAGGAAAAGCAGAGAAACGAGAAGGAGAGTAAACCGGAAGAATGCGATAGGGAGAGGGACCACGGATGGAGGGAGGGAGGGGGGAGGGGTGGTGGTCCCTTGTCTCGGACGGTTACTCCACAGTCGGCTGTATGCCCCTTTTTATAGGTGTGTTTAGCCGGAACTTTAAGTGCGAGGTGGGGGGGGCTGGGATGGAGGGGGTAGGGGGGGATTACCATAGGGCTCTGGGAGGATAGTGTTACGTGCGAGTGACTTGTTCTCTCTCTCTCTCTCTCTCTCTCTCTCTCTCTCTCTCTCTCTCTCTCTCTCTCTCTCTCTCTCTCTCTCTCTCCCTCCCTCCCTCCCTCCCTCCCTCCCTCCCTCCCCCTCCCTCCCTCCCTCCCTCCCTCTTCCCGCCATCTATCCCTCCCCCCCTCTCCCTTTCCTCTCTCGCCCTCATCTCCTGCCCCCTCCCTCCCCCCGTCCTCTTTGCTTTGTTCTTTTTTATTTTGGCGCTTTTGTTCATGAATGGAGCCGCTAGGGTGCTCCAGCGGGCCCGCCACTTCTCCGCACTTGGGTCGCCAGCGCCGAGAATGTGTATTGGTCTTCGAAGCCATGATTTCTATGCTAACAACCTCCTCTGCTGTCGACTGACCTCTCCCCCTACCTCCATCCCCCTCCCCTACCTCCTCCTTCCATCCCCCCTCCCCTACCTCCTCCTTCCATCCCCCCTCCCCCCCCCCCCCCCCCGTTCTCCCATGTAAGGACCGCGTGGTCACTCATGCGTGTTAACACCTCCCCTTCCCCTCACCCTGCGCCCTTCGCCTTCCCCTTCCTCCGTCGGGATGGTTATAAACCCCGATATTATCCGTCTCTCTCTTTCTCTCCCTTTTCCTCTCTACTTTCTTCTTCCTCTCTCCCCATTTCTCTTCCGCGGTTGCAGTCGTTTCCCCTTTTAGTCCTCGCCTTTCCTCCCCTCCCCTCTAATCTCCCCATTCCCCTTCTCTTGTATATGACCTGGCGACGTGTAGGTGGCGCTGGCGGGGTGGGTGGGTGGGTGGGTGGGTGCCATATGTTTATGAAGTCATTAGTAGCGTGATTGCGCTCCCCTTCTTCGCCCCCCCCCCTCTTCCCGTCCGCCTTCTGAGCGCCCTTGTGATGACAGCCGTGTGTGTGTGTGTGTTTGCGTCTGTCTGTCTCTCTCTCTCTCTCTCTCTCTCTCTCTCTCTCTCTCTCTCTCTCTCTCTCTCTCTCTCTCTCTCTCTCTCTCTCTCTCTCTCTCCCTCCCTCGTGTTGTGACTGGGTTTGAGGGACAGCGGGGAGGAGAGAGAATCCCACTGAGAGGGGATTATGACCTCACACCGACCTGACCCCAGAATATCGAGTGAGAATGATGAAGCCTGGAAGGGGGCTCGGAATGGGGATAAATAGCCTGTGTAAGCGCAGTATGGAGGGCGTTCGGGAGGGGAGGGGGGAGAGGGAGAGAGGGAGTAAAGAGGGAACAGACGGGACTTTGCTTTTTTTTTCCCTTGGAGTCCTCGGAAAGCACTCTCCTCCTCGTTCGCGGTTGCCGGGCCCCGGGGTCGCCAGGCGCCCCGAGTGCAGCGTCCGGCGACGAGGGAGACCGCAGCCCGCGTTACGAGGCTATTAAACAAGAGCAAGATCACTTCTCATCCCTCTTCCCGCCCGCCCTTCCCCTCCCCTTGCCCCTCCCCCACTTGCCTCCCTCCCCTTTCGCGTGGGTGGGGAGGGGGAGGGGAGCGTGACCGCGCCGCCCCCCTCCCTGTCCCCCTCCACCCTTCCGCGACCCTTCGTGGGCCAACAAACAGCGCCAGTAATGACGACTCTAACCCTCACGATCAGGCGCTCGCCTCGCGCTCTCCCGCACGCACGCACGAGAGTCCGGTACTTCCGCCCGCCCCCCGCGAGGACCTACCAGGGTGCCGCGGGGTCAGGTCGGCCCCTCGTCGGTGACCTCCGGCGCTAACCCCCTCCTTCCCCTTCCCCTCCCCCCCTCCTGTTCCGCTGATGGCCGAAAGCAGATGGAACACATTTTTTCCCTTTTTTTCTTCCTGTTTTTTTTCCCGAGTGCGTGCATGTGAAGAGCTTCAAGCGATATTTGACTCGACAAACAACGCCCCCTTTTTTTTCTTTTTTTTTTTCAAGCCGCATTCACAGCATAGCGCGAGCACTTGACGCCGGGGTCGGGGCCGCGGCGGAAGGATTAATCGGCCATTATTAAATCGTCGCGCTTCGGGCTTTGCCGTTCATTTTGGCAACGTTCGCGGCGTCGATGAGCATTACATTATCGTTATCGGAAACGAGCGAGGGGAGGTGGGGGGAAGGGGGAGGGGGTGGAGACGGGACTTGGCAGTTAGAGATCATTACCGTCGTCGGGAGGGATAGGGGAGGGGGAGGAGGTGAGGGGGGTAGGAGTGGGGAGAGGGGTTGAGAGCAAGAGACCGTGCAAGGAGGAGGGCGGACGAAAAGCCAGACCGGAAGCGCGATTTGTTCTTTTAATTTATTTTCTGCGTGTGTTTGCCGTTCTGTTCTTTTTTCTCTCGTTTCCCTTTCACATCCTCTCTTTCTCTTTCTCTTTCTCTCGTTTCCCTTTCACATCCTCTCTTTCTCTTTCTCTTTCTCTCGGTTTCTCTCTCTCTCTCTCTGTCTCTCTCTCTCTCTCTGTCTCTCTCTCTCTCTCTCTCTCTCTCTCTCTCTCTCTCTCTCTCTCTCTCTCTCTCTCTCTCTCTCTCTCTGTGCCTCCATCCATCCCTCCTTCCCTTCCTCAACTTCGCCTTTCTTTTCGCCTCTTTTCTCCTCTTTCCTCACTTCTTCCATTCCCCGCCTTCCTCCCTCTCTCCTGATCTTCACTCTGATCATTGTTCCCATTTCGGTCCGTCAGCTTTTCCCTTCCTCATCGGATCAGCTTTTCCCTCTATCGGCTTCTTTCTTTCCTCCCCTCTCCCCTCTCATTACACTCCCCTCCGGAACAGCTTCTTTCTTACGTTTAACCCTTATCTCTCCTTTCCTTCCTGTTGTGCGTTTCTCCCCTCTGTGCTTCCCTCCTTCCTTTTTTTCCCCTCTCTCTCTCTCTCTC